ATTACCCATCATTCAGTCTGATACACAACAAAGCTACAGAAAGTTACAGAACAAGCCCATCAGTCAGTCTGATAAACAACAAACCTACAGAAAGTTACCGAACAAACCCATCAGTCAGTCAGATACACAACAAACCTACAGAAAGATACAGAACAAACCCATCAGCCAGTCTGATACACAACAAACCTACCGAAAGTTACAGAACAAACCCAGCAGTCAGTCTGATACACAAAAAACCTGCAGAAAGTTACAGAACAAATTACCCATCATTCAGTCTGATACACAACAAACCTACAGAATGTTACAGAACAAACCCATCAGTAAACGTCACATATAAATACGTATTGGTTGTTCTACAGGAATCTTTTCACAATCCATTCTTACCAACCTGAAGAAAATGTTTCGAAAAGAAACCTACAGAAATCTACGATCCAACCCTACAGAAAGTTCCAGACCAAACTCATCAGTCACTCTGATACACAACAACCCTACAGAAAGTTACAGAACAGACCCATCAGTCAGTCTGATCCACAACAAACCTACAGAAAGATACAGAACAAACCCATCAGTCAGTCTGATAAACAACAAACCTACAGAAAGCTACAGAACAAACCCATCAGCCAGTCTGATACACAACAAAGCTACAGAAAGTTACAGAACAGACCCATCAGTCAGTCTGATCCACAACAAACCTACAGAAAGGTACAGAACAAACCCATCAGTCAGTCAGATACACAACAAACCTACAGAAAGCTACAGAACAAACCCATCAGCCAGTCTGATACACAACAAACCTACGGAAAGTTACCGAACAAACCCATCAGTCAGTCGGATACACAACAAACCTACAGAATGTTACAGAACAAACCCATCAGCCAGTCTGATACACAACAAACCTAGAGGAAGTTACAGAACAAACCCAGCAGTCAGTCTGATACACAAAAAACCTGCAGAAAGTTACAGAACAAATTACCCATCATTCAGTATGATACACAACAAACCTACAGAAGGTTACAGAACAAACCCATCAGTTAGTCTGATACACAACAAACCTAGAGGAAGTTACAGAACAAACCCAGCAGTCAGTCTGATACACAAAAAACCTGCAGAAAGTTACAGAACAAATTACCCATCATTCAGTCTGATACACAACAAAGCTACAGAAAGTTACAGAACACACCCACCAGTCAGTCTGATACACAAAAAACCTGCAGAAAGTTACAGAACAAATTACCCATCATTCAGTATGATACACAACAAACCTACTGGTCATTTGTCTGATGAAGGGGACAGAGGACATACGTTACTAGTCATCGAAACGTCACATATAAATACGTATTGGTTGTTCTACAGGAATCTTTTCACAATCCATTCTTACCAACCTGAAGAAAATGTTTCGAAAATAAACCTACAGAAATCTACGATCCAAACCTACAGAAAGTTACCGAACAAACCCCTCAGTCAGTCTGATACACAACAAACCTACAGAAAGCTTTAACATGTACTGTACTGACATAATAAGCACTCTGGAAGCTTACAAATTTGGGATAAATAGAATGATAGAAACTGATTCAAACTTAGCCAAAGCCAAAATTAGAGGCACATCATTTTAAGTAAGATGCTAAATAGTTCATAATGCAAAACAATTAGGCACTCTGTCCAAGATAGGGGGCAGTTATTACATTGACTGGTAAATAGGATTTAAAACCAATTGGCATATACCCGGTAAGTGCATTCACAGATGAATAAGATTTATATAATATATATTCCATATCAGTGCGGACATCAACAGAAACTGAACCATGCCAGTGTTTTGATTAAGAAAGAGCTACAACCGTCTACCAGAGTTGTTGGTTAATGAGGTAATTAAACTGTAGACCATGCAGGCCTTCCTTGCTTGGATTAGTAATTGTCTTTTCCAAGAAATTCTCGCTGACCTCCATTTTGTAAATGGGTATTGGATGTTGATCCTCCTGGAAAGTGAGATGTGGGTCTAGATAGTACGGGGATCAATGGCTTCCTAGACACAACGATTCCAGCAACGATTGACCAACACCCACAGGTCCAAAACCTGCTACACCAACCAACAAAACTCCATTTCCTTCCTTCAGACTGCTTATACACAGAGACTGATGTATTGTTTGTGCAGTCAGCTTTTTGCAAAACCCTGAGTTTCACGTCCATTAATACTTAGAGCTATGTTAACATCGGTATACATTGTATGTTGCTGTCTGACTATCCTAGGGAACAGCACTATGGTCAAAGTTTACATGATATCTGTTTTCTTTAATAGATTAAACATCCACAGTACTGGCAGTGTGTCAGGTATCTTAGAGCTTGAATGAAATACAAAATGCTAAAAATGAATTACAGAAAGATGGTTCTGGATGAAGAGGTTTAAGTTTTATATCAGTGTTGCTAATTTTTCCATTCAGAGAGGGATGAAATATTTTTAGAAACAATTTTGCCAAGATTAAAATGAGAGTTGATATACATGTTTGTATCTAATAAACAAGATGCCCAATGGGCCTGCATCGCTCACCTGGTATAAATCTCACACTTGTAACCTTAAAAGTGATCTAAAATAAAGCTACAGGCAAAATTAAATATCAATATTTATGATTAGAATTCATTCAAAAGAACCTGTTATTTTCTTTTTAAACATTTCACCCCTGTGATTGAAAGTCGAACAAAGTCATTATGTTGAACAAGTTTTATAGCCTTTCATCTCAGGATGCAACTTGCAAGGTATCAACATCCTGGGACCCATGGTTATTCAGAAGAGGTCCTTTAAAGATTTTAAACAAATTTGACCCCTGTGACCTTGAATATAAGTCAAAGTCATTCACTTTAACAAACATATATAATAGTCCTTGATCCCAGCATGCTACTGACTATATATAAACATCCTGAGCCTTTTGGTTATTCAAAACAAGTTTTTTTTTTTTAATATTTTGAACATATTTGCTCCTTGTGACCTTGAATATGATTCAAGGTCATACATTTATACAAACTTGGTAGCCCTTGATCGTAGTATACTACTGACTAAATATCATCACTCTGGGCATTTTTGGTTATTCAGAAAAAGTTGTTTGAAGTTTTTAACATATTTGACCCCTGTGACCTTGAATATCGGTGAAGGTCATTCATTTGAACAAACATTGTAGTCCTTCATCTCAGAATGCTAATGGCAAAATATCATCACCCTGTGCATTTTGGTTATTCAAAAGAAGTTGTTTAATGTTTTTAACATAATTGACCCCTGTGACCTTCAATGTGTGTGAAGGTCATCCATTTGAAACAAACTTTGTAGCCCTTTATCTCAGCATGCTACTGGCCAAATATCATCACCCCAGGCCTTTTGCTTATTCAGAAGAAATTGTTTAAAGGTTTTTTTAAGACAATTGACCCCTGTGACCTTGAATATAATTGAAGGTCATTCATTTGAACAAACCTGGTAGCCCTTCACCCAAGAATGCTACTGGCCAAATATCATTTCCCTGGGCGTTTTGGTTATTGAGAAGAAGTTGTTTAAAGTTTTAAACATAATTGACCCCTGTAACCTTGAATATGGGTGAAGGTCATTCATTTGAACAAACTGTGTAGCCCTTCATCTCAGCATGCTACTGGCCAAATATCATCACCCTGGGCATTTCGATTATTCAGAAGAAGTTGTTTAAAGGTTTTTTAAGACAATTGACCCCTGTGACCTAGAATATAATTGAAGGTCATTCATTTGAACTAACCTGGTAGCCCTTCACCCAAGAATGCTACTGGCCAAATATCATTTCCCTGGGCGTTTCGGTTATTGAGAAGAAGTTGTTTAAAGTTTTTAACATATTTGACCCCTGTGACCTTGAATTTGTGTGAAGGTCATCCATTTGAACAAACTTTTTATCCCTTCATCTCAGCATGCTACTGGCCAAATATCATCACCCTGGGCATTTCGATTATTCAGAAGAAGTTGTTTAAAGGTTTTTTAAGACAATTGACCCCTGTGACCTTGAACATAATTGAAGGTCATTCATTTGAACAAACTTGGTAGCCCTTCATCCCAGCATGCTACTGGCCAAATATCATCACCCTGTGCATTTTGGTTATTAAGAAGAAGTTGTTTAATGTTTTACACATATTTGACCCCTGTGACCTTGAAAGTGGGTGAAGGTCATTAATATTAACAAACTTTGTAGCCCTTCATCCCAGTTTCCTTTTGGCCAAATATCATCACCCTAGGCCTTTTGGTTAATAAGAAGAAGTCGTTTAAAGTAAAAAATTGACGCCGGACAGACGGCCAACGCATGAACGGACGCCGGACGCCGCGCCACAGCATAAGCTCACTTGGCACTTCGTGCCAGGTGAGCTAAAAAGAATAATATATATATATGGCTAAAGTGAACAATGTCAACAGTAAAAATGTGATATGAAAACTTAGAAAAATTAGATTAAAAAGATGTAAAAATTGGGATAATTGATTTTTAATATTACATCCACAATCTTTACAATCAAGAAACCTAATTTAGTGGGATTGTAATAACTAATAACTCACAGAAAAATGCAATTACCAAACCAAAATGTATAACATTCAATGTCTAGATAGATGTCCATGGTGATAGATCCAGTCCAGATCTGTTACATGACACGATTTCATTCCTCCTTCAGATAGTCTTTGATCCTTAACACCCTTATCACTTTCCATAGCTGTTTATATTTGGGTGCCAAATGTAAGAGGAAACAATAAAGGTATGGCCATGCCATGATTCCACTGCCACCTCTAAACTCCAGGTTGTTGCTGTTATCTAGCTGGGTTACCAAGTCACCATCATTTGACCCGTTACAGTTCCTCTTCAAGTAATTTAAGCCAAGGTTCATGACAGGGTAGGATCAAATTTCCTAATAATACAATTGAGGCATACAGTTGAAATGTAAAACAATGAAATATGTTTGACTCAAGCATTGGTTTGTTTTGTAGAAGGTCACTTTTAAATGTTGCTCTTTTTCAGACTGGCAACCCTTCGGCCCCTCCACTATAGGGTGTGGTCCCGGGTACCTAACAGGCAGTGGCGGGCTGATCATATCACCAAACTATCCCGCACTCTTTCCGACCTTAAGCCGGTGTTCATGGATCATCAAGGTCAAAGACACACAGAAGATCCTGCTCCAGATTGTTGACATGGAAATCTCCAGCAGTAGTAGGTTCTTTTGTGTTGTTTAAATAGAAACAAACGGACAAATTTACATTACACAATTGATGCATAACAGAAAAGATGTTTATTGGATGCTAAGTAAAAATAGAAAATAGTTGATCATAATGTAGAAATGCAGTACAGAAAAACCAACCTTGAGAAACTTTATAAACATTAGAAATTTGTGTTTAGTTTACTTAATTAATGAGATTCTAAATATAGTTGTAGAGACTCTACTTGAAAATTGGTATTGCTTAGGTGTCAAACGGTTTATGATGAAGTTTAGTTTAACGATATAACTTGTGTTTCACTACAATGCTGATCCTTGTTGTATTTCAGCTCACCCCTTTAGTAAGTCTGGAGGATTAGACTCTTTAAAATTGTATCATTTTCAAATTGGGGAAAATACCATATCAGCTCTGTTCTAATATGCGTATTGCTTCTGCAGAAACGCATGCTGCCATGGCACGCATATCGCATGTCATTTAATTAGTACTCTGCGTACGTTTAGACTCTGCACTAGTGTCTAATTTTAAACCTGATTGGGAAATACTTGAGTAAAAGTCGATCTGATGAACTACACTCTGTCACCATGCTTATATTTGGGACACAGTCAACTCTTTTAGGTGTTTTAATTTTGGTATCTGACATTTCATAGACACTTGTTTTGGGGGAGGGTGTTGACATTTGCCAGGTTTAGGGTATGTGGCTATATTCGGAAATTTGATCATTAGACGGAAAGGTTCCATTTGGAGATGTGTTTGTAATGGTGGCGGTTACTTGTTATATCCCCTCATTAACTTCATTGTCAATGTCAGTGTGTCCAACTCTGTGCTACTTTAGGAGGAAATACCATAAATGAACAAATAAACTTGTGTAAAGGTTTGATTGCTGCTGTTACCATATCCCATCCAATGATTTCACCCTTACTATTCTACATGATAGACTGATAATTTTTGTACAAGGTAATAAATAAAGGCTTAGTTTGTTTTGAACACAAACAGGACTTTTAAATTGAAAACAAACTTAGCATTTATTATTCATACCAAACTGATGAATCTTATTCTGAAGGTAATATATATTACATAAAGCACAGGGAAATACAAATCTTCTTGGTGCAATCATATTTTTCCAGTTTTTGTCACCAAAGATTAAAGTAATATAATAATGACTTCACTACAAAATGATCTGAGAATCAGATATGTGCAGTGGNGGGGGGGGGGGGGGGGGGGGGGGGGGGGGGGGGGGGGGAGTTAAGGAATACTTACTGATTGGGGTTATACAATACTGACTTATAATTACAGAGAGGTGATAGTAACTAATATTTGAAGAAGTGTAAAATAATTATTTTTCACAGACATTCTTTACATATTATCATATTGTATAAAATCCATTTGCAAAAGATTTGGTGATAATTACAAATTCTAAACACTGATAACAATTTTTGCATGTAACGTTGAATTTTAAATAAGTATTTGGATATTTAAAGCATGCTCATTCAACCCTTTCTTATTATCATCAAGCCCTTTATAACTGTTTATTTGTTTAAATCTTGAACAAAAGATTGACAGTGTGAGTAATGCTGTGTGGTATGGATACTCCTCACTGGGACCATGGTACTTTTCTCCTTGTTATTTATGATACTTTGCAGGTTGAGGTGACATACAAATGTATTTGGAGCACTATATAGTATATCCTGGTACAGAGTCCTCCTCTAACCATCACAGACTACAATGTTTTTGGAGCACTATATAGTATATCCTGGTACAGAGCCCTCCTCTAACCATCACAGACTACAATGTATTTGGAGCACTATATAGTATATCCTGGTACAGAGTCCTCCTCTAACCATCACAGACTACAATGTATTTGGAGCACTATATAGTATATCCTGGTACAGAGCCCTCCTCTAACCATCACAGACTACAATGTATTTGGAGCACTATATAGTATATCCTGGTACAGAGTCCTCCTCTAACCATCACAGACTACAATGTATTTGGAGCACTATATAGTATATCCTGGTACAGAGTCCTCCTCTAACCATCACAGACTACAATGTATTTGGAGCACTATATAGTATATCCTGGTACAGAGCCCTCCTCTAACCATCACAGACTACAATGTATTTGGAGCACTATATAGTATATCCTGGTACAGAGTCCTCCTCTAACCATCACAGACTACAATGTATTTGGAGCACTATATAGTATATCCTGGTACAGAGTCCTCCTCTAACCATCACAGACTACAATGTATTTGGAGCACTATATAGTATATCCTGGTACAGAGTCCTCCTCTAACCATCACAGACTACAATGTATTTGGAGCACTATATAGTATATCCTGGTACAGAGTCCTCCTCTAACCATCACAGACTACAATGTATTTGGAGCACTATATAGTATATCCTGGTACAGAGCCCTCCTCTAACCATCACAGACTACAATGTATTTGGAGCACTATATAGTATATCCTGGTACAGAGTCCTCCTCTAACCATCACAGACTACAATGTATTTGGAGCACTATATAGTATATCCTGGTACAGAGCCCTCCTCTAACCATCACAGACTACAATGTATTTGGAGCACTATATAGTATATCCTGGTACAGAGTCCTCCTCTAACCATCACAGACTACAATGTATTTGGAGCACTATATAGTATATCCTGGTACAGAGTCCTCCTCTAACCATCACAGACTACAATGTATTTGGAGCACTATATAGTATATCCTGGTACAGAGTCCTCCTCTAACCATCACAGACTACAATGTATTTGGAGCACTATATAGTATATCCTGGTACAGAGTCCTCCTCTAACCATCACAGACTACAATGTATTTGGAGCACTATATAGTATATCCTGGTACAGAGCCCTCCTCTAACCATCACAGACTACAATGTATTTGGAGCACTATATAGTATATCCTGGTACAGAGTCCTCCTCTAACCATCACAGACTACAATGTATTTGGAGCACTATATAGTATATCCTGGTACAGAGCCCTCCTCTAACCATCACAGACTACAATGTATTTGGAGCACTATATAGTATATCCTGGTACAGAGTCCTCCTCTAACCATCACAGACTACAATGTATTTGGAGCACTATATAGTATATCCTGGTACAGAGTCCTCCTCTAACCATCACAGACTACAATGTATTTGGAGCACTATATAGTATATCCTGGTACAGAGTCCTCCTCTAACCATCACAGACTACAATCACTCATTGATAACCTTTTAGTCAGCTAGAAAATTAGGATTATTTTTATACGGCTTTTTTTAGTCTTCCCTATTCTATAGATACATCGATCACCATTTTGTTAAGTATATGTACATTTCATAAAATAAAAGAGGTATATATATCACTCACACATTTTTTTCAGAATACATGAGATCATATCAAATCTTATTCTTTATATTGTCATTAAGATTGTAATTAACTGTACTTTTCTTCATTATTGATGAAGATTATTTGCACTAATGGGAAACAATTGTCACAGGTATTTTGTTTTCTTTTCTGTGAGTGTCTATCGATCTGATTTTTGCACTACAATGTATCTAGTTCTGTTCCATGTCATCTGAGTTAGCTTCAAGCTTCATTCAGCTGGTGATTTGTAAATCAATTTGCTCTTTTCCATCATTTGCAGAATTTCACAGTCACATTATATGCTTTTGGCATGATACTTCTACACTGCTAACATGCAGGGCTTCATCAGCAGAGATGAACTTAAATTGTCATATTTTGGACAAACTTCACTTCATTTGTCACTGTTCAACCCTTAAATCAACATGCACTTCTGCCCATGATCACAGTGAACTCACTCACTTAAGCATTTTCAGACTAAACCACATGAAAGTGACAACATATACCTTCTCAATTATACAAGTAATAAGGATTGATGAGCTATCGCAGGTAAAACTGATCAACCTTTGACCTTTACTTTTGACTGGACAAGGTCAAGGCAGCTCATGTTTGTATCAGCAGAGATATTAATGGAAGTCTGTAAATAGCTAATAATAATATATAACATTGATATAGTGCCCTATATAATTTGTAAAATTACCCTAAAGTGCTTTACAACATATGGATAATAGTATTAATTATAATTGTGAAACAAAAATGGCTTACAATCACCATTATACATTAAGCAAGAAGATAATCATCGCAATGTGCACATAAATGAATAAATAAAGGGTGGTATTTACGACGTCTGTGCAAAAAGTCTAAATTGCAGATGTAAAGAGATGAGTTTTGATGTCCTTCTTGAATTTGGCCAGGGTATTTGACTTTCTAATAGCGGATGGTAAAGCTATTCCACAACGTGGCCGAAACCCTCCCAAAGCACAGCTGGTTTCCATATGTCACAGAACGAGATTTTGGGACACACAACAATGATTCTGACTCCAACTACAGTGATCGTGACAGCTGATATAGGGTAACAAGCACCTGTAGGTACTGGGGAGCTGTTCCATTCAATGCCTTGTATGTGTACACTAAAGTTTTGTACTGCAACCTGTATTGTACAGGTAACCAGTGCAATGGATAGAGCACAAAGAATAGAGCCAAGAATATCTGAGGATGTAAATCATAACATCTACCAAAAAGTGTTGGTGGGATCCGCCAGAAGTTTTAAGACGGTATCCACCTAGTATTGACTTAAGCAGACTTAAGATGGATTCCAGGCAAACTTAAGGCATAAATAACTGACTTAAGCAGACTTAAGATGGATTCAAGGCAAACTTACAGCAAAAATAACTGACTTAAGCAGACTTAAGATGGATTCCAGGCAAATTTAAGGCATAAATAACTGACTTAAGCAGACTTAAGGTGGGTTCCAGGAAGACTAAAGGCAAATACCGGCTTTAACATTAAAGCGAGCTTCATTACACAGAGTGAGATGTTCATGTAATCATGAAAACAGGATATAGGTATCTAATATAATTAACCAATGTGTTGTTCTTAGGATCATCCTATGATACAATAGGTATAGGTTTCATAGGTGATCATATAAGATAAAATATTGGTCAAAGAAATCATACATTATACTGTTTATCTTCTAGAGGTCAAATGATACAATTTCCTGGTTCCAGAAGTCCTATAATACAAAGTTGATGTTCTAGAGGGATTATATGACACATTGTATTAATTGTTTTTGTATGGTACCATGTCTCAGTTCCAGAATTTAGATGATGCGTTGGTTCTAAAGATTAAAGGATATAATGTTTGGTTCTAGAGATCATAGCTTAAACATACTTGACAACCTTTTGAAATATCCATGCGGGAGATTGTATGTTCTTAAAA